TTGTAGTCAATGTCTTCCTTTTGGGTGTAACCTTTAGAAACAAGTCTAACTTTATATCTTTCGATATTACCTTTAGAGTCGTGTTTGGTTTCTGAAAAAACTCATTTACACCTAACTCTTTTAGACCCTTCAGGTAAATCTATTGAATTGAAGACTTTATTTTCATCCATTGACTTTATTTATTCTTTCATGGCATTGATAAACTTTTCCAGAATTTTCACTTTTCATGGCTTGTCATTCATCAACCAAAGATTGTTCTATAATTTCTTGAATGTTTGTTATCGAGTCATTATCAAGTGAGTTTGAATCATTCTTGTTATTCATCCAAGTTACATGACCGTACTGTAACTAAAAGAATAACAACCATTGATGGACTCTCGGATTTGGACTGTTCAACCCGAGTTTCTTTGACATCCAAACTTTGCATTCCAAACTCACACTGATTTGATCATTTTTTATGAATCGAGCATTGCTGGATCAATTATTCTCGTACTATGGTTAGGACAGTAGAACCTATATCCTTTTGACTTTTCTGGATAGCCCATGAAAAAACCACTGACTGTCCTAGGACCAATTTTCTTTTCATGTGGATTATATGCTTTTACTTGTGCTTGACAGCCCAAAACATGAAGATGCCTCAAACTAGGTTTCCTACCCTTTTATAGTTCATAATAAGAACTACTTTACTAGGAACCCGGTTTACCCAATATGCAACAATCTTTAATGCATGCATCCACATAGAAAACGTTGATGTTGAATTACTCAACATACTCCTAACCATATCCTTTTAAGTACGATTTATCCTCTCAACAATACCATTATGTTGAGGAGTCTCAATTATAGTGTATTGCACACAAATATTTTAAATCTCAAAAAACTTTGCAAATGGACTAGGACATAATCCTCTTTCATTGAACTTACAATAATATTCACCAATCTAAAGAGATCTCACAACTATTAGTTATTTATCTAACTACCTCTCCATCTCATCATTGTATATCTTTAGATAGTTCAATGATTGAGTCTTTTCACGTAATAGATAAATATAACTATAACATGAGAAATTGTTTGTAGGAGTGATGAAATACTTTATACCGCCCCCCACAAGGGAACGTCGAATAGACCACAAAAAAATTAGCGTAAATAAGTTATAAGATTTTAGTGTTTCTCTTGACAGATCTCTTTAATGTATGCTAGTTTGGTTTTCTTTAATTCATTTTATACATACACCTTGATCACTAAAATCCAAATGAGAAATAGTTTCATTATTCACCATTCTCAAAACTTTTCAGATATGTGACCATAATCTTTAATGCCATAAGAGAGTATAATATTCGTTATGTGCACTACGTTTAACCCAAAAATAAACACTCCCTCCCATTATAAATAATTGTCGTTTGGGCTTTAGTAACCATTAAGCAAATAATTGTCGTTGTAGGTCTTGTAATCTTATTTTTCCACTTTTACCCTATCCAACTACTCACTACGCCTCTTCGTCTTCATGCTTCATCTTTTCCCAGACCTCCATCTCTTTCCCATGGAAATCTTTATTTTTTTTTTTTTAACTCACTTTACTTCTTTATATTTTTTTCCAATCCATCTTCCACAATTTGTGTGTGTCTTTTTTAATCCATTTTTTTCTAGTCTTGTTGATTCTTATTCTACAGTTCTCCCCTTTGTTCTTTTTCTCTTTTGATTAATGGATTCGAAAGGTCATGATGCTTCAAAATTATCCGGAAATCCACTTTACTAAATCTGTTCACTCTCACCAGGCTCTTATGGATGAAGTCCTTCAACTATTGGAGAAGACAAAGACAAGTTTAGATGTCGCCCATTCTTTAGCTTTGCAAATTTGTGATTCGGCGGAGTCATTTAAGGTGTATGTGTCTGATTCGGACGTTGAAGATGGTGTTCATCAATGTTCTACGAGAGGTTTATCTATGCTTTCTTAATTTTTACTCGTTTCAATTGATTTATTTTGGTTTTGGAAAAAGATGCTAATCTTTGTTTAATTGAGCAGTTTATTAGCTCTTCGAGAATTTTCCTTCAAAAATTTTGTTTTCTTAACTAGTCTGTCTTATGTAATTAATGGTAGATTAATAGCGATTTATATATCTATAGGAGTTAGATTAATTATGGATGTGAAATTGCATGATTTTTACCTAGTTTTTTGAATTCACTGTGGTTACTGGACATTGATCATGTGATTCTTTTTCATTTGTGAAGATATTTTGAATTTCAATCTATCAAGTCCTCTTTTCGGTAGGCGAATGAATCTTTACTCTTTTCCATACTTTTGTAAAGTACAGAACAAAAAGGAAAAAAAAAAAGTTATTCTTGTTCGAAAATTAGGCTTGCAAACAAATGTAATTATTTCTGATATACGGGTTTGAACTGTTCAAGGACTTAAGTTTTTGGCTAACTAGAAAGACTATTAACTATGCCGTCTAACTTGGGTAAATGGTCACTTATTAAGCATATGACTATGGTTACTTGATTATTTGAGAATCTTTTGCATATACTATGTCATTGGCAATCAAATTACTTCCTAAAAGTGACAAAGAACCATGATGGAATAGGCTTGTGTTTTCTTGGATCATTTTACTTTGTTTAATCCTCTTCCTTGATATGTTGCCTTTTGAATTGATTTCAAAGTCATAATGTTGTCATTCTATTGATGATAGTTGTGTTTTGTTCTATGTGGTTTTTGACTTAGTGACGGCGCAAACAAAAGTTCAACTAAGGCTAATGCAGTTGGAACTAGTTTTTCAAAATTTAGAAGTGCAACAAAGGTTGAAGATAAGATTGTTGTTGGGGAAGCAATTATCGCACCCAAATGATGAAGTTGTGCAAGAGATGCTGAAGATTTTTGTGCCAGATTTGTTTACTGAAAAGTAGATTACAAATTAAGAATATTATGTAGGGTACGATCATAATTCGTTTTACAGACTATTTTTTCGAGTTGTCTTGTATTGATTGGAAGTGATTTGGTTTATGTTTCCCAGTGGTGAATTGTAATCTATGTTCTTATGATCATTTGATGTGAACGATCTTCATCGAGATATTTTTTCAATGTTTACGCTCATTGTATTAGCTCAATCTGAGCGGATCAATGCGGTGCAAAGGTTTGTACTTTGATTTTCTTGTATTAGATTTTATTTTTATTTATTTATTTTGTTATGATCCCAGTTTTCTCGGCTAAAATCACAAAGATAGCATCACTTAACAGATTCACAATAATCCACTCTCCACTCTCCATCACTTAACGGATTCAGTTATGAGAGTCCAACTTACAGAGGATAAAGATAAACCTACTGACCACAAGCATGCATTCAGAGAAGTATCAAGTTTACCAAACATTTGAAAAGGTAAATGAGAAAAGACAGAAGGCATGGGCAATTTACTCCAATCAGGGTACTGAAATTTTCTACCACTAATTTTAGGAAGTTTCGACTCAAGGACCCTTTGTATCCTCTGTCTAAAACAAGATTTACAATTGTGATGGTTGCTTGCACAATTTCCAGCCCCAACAATGAGCAACGCAGACATTTGATAAATAAAGTATCGTAATTGGTTGATTAAGCTAGAAACTTTGTTTTATCCGAGCCACCTGTCGTCGAAGCATATTGACTGATATTCAATTGGCCCGAGCTAACGGCTTCATGGATACCATGAAGTTTTCTATCACTGTTGTTGAACAAAAAAAGCGGCAAACTTGGTTCGATGTTTTTAACATATCTAAAGTGCTTAGCTGGAAGGCCTGTCAAAACCATACAAGCATGATAATAGCTTCCAAGCAGAAAAATATTCGAACCTCAAACCTCAAACTGATTGTCAAATGTTTTCATTTTCTAAGCTCCCGGCCTTTAAAGGCTAGCAGATGAAAGCTTGAAGTTAACTCATTTTGATACTGCAACTAATTTTCAGAAAAGTCTGCCACACATATATCATGAATGTAACTGCACAATCCATATGGGGTTAGAAATTTACGAGGTACAAAAATGTAATGTCTGAAATCCAATAAAGTGTAAGTTCTTAACTGAAGCGAAAACGGAATAAGGTACATCAATAAAACAAATACTCTGAAGAGAAGGTTAATTGGTTAAATCAAATTGACTGAAAAATTAGATGGATAGATATACATTATTATAATCCAATTCATAATAAAATCATATTAGAACAAAAATTAGAGTGAAAAAAAAAGGAGTAGAACCATAATAGACATTGACTGGATATTTATGCATATTGATCTGACTACCCATCTGGCATTATATTGCAGTTGAGCAAGCCTAAAATCCTTGCTTTAAAAGTTCTAACAAAACAAGCATGAAGCATAACATAATTTAACAAATGGAGCTGACTCTGACTCACTACTTAAAGAGAATAAATAAGGCGTTACAGTTCCTAATAATAAAAAATAGTGCTTAAGATCAATAATACAGTAATTGACACAACCTGAATTTAGACATTAGACAAAACAAAAAACAGCTCAGTCAAGACAATCTTAATTTCCATTTATATCACCTTGCATCCCAGTAGTACTTTAATTCACACAAACTAAATTTAGACATACGAAGAAAACAAAATCAATTAGTCATTACCTATAAACTCAACAAATTGTGCTCCATTAACAAAAGATGTGGACTTATTAATCCAATATCAAAATTATGCTTGAAACTGAAGAACAACGGACTCACACATCATTTTCTTCGAATTATGATGATCCAAAAACCAAACACAAGCAGCATTCATCTGCTTTAATGACAATACAAAATTGAAAACAAAAAAAGGTAAAATCTAGAAACTTCAGCATAAACCATAAGTTGTGAACTTTAGCATAAACCATAAAACATAGAAAAAAAAGGCAAAAAAGAAAAAAACAAAGGACAAAAGCTGGAAAATTCAACATAAAACACAGGTAACTAAAACTAAATTTTGCCACTCATTGTAAAGCACTCTTCAGACATGACTAAAGTTCTTCCTAGACTACACTAAGACACTCTCCAGGCATGACTGAAGTCCTTCCGATCCACCTCCAATCGAACCGTTCCCTACAATCAAATGATAACATTATCAATAATAGTGAATATATAAAGAGGAAAAGCAAATGTCAACATTGACCTACCTAGTCGTGTTTCTAACAAATCTCTAGTCGCTTGCACTAAAGTAGACTCGCATGAAATTTGTGTAGGAAGTTGACCTAGTCTTTGAAGCCGTTTTTTGTTTCTATGAGGGATTTTATATCGATTTCTTCCTTCTAATTTCATGACTTCTTTCATGCATAATTGCAACGTCAACCACACGTAATTGAGCTTGATGGGTGAATAGTCAGAGAATGCCTTCTCTACCGCACTTACAAGCTCAGGGATATTCTTTGCGCACATTTTTTGTTGTAGCGATTGTATGGCCCTAAAATACCCAAGGTCGAGTATATTCAAATCCGGAGAATTAAGAGGTTGGCAAGTTAATCGAATGTCGAAGCCATTTTGTGAAGCTGTTGCTACAAAATCAGGGTCATCAGAAGGAACATGTGTCCTAGCATTGTCTTGTTGGATATAAATAGTTTCACCATAATCAGAGCTAGGCCATTTCTCAATAATAGCTGGGATAACCTTTTCAATCAAAAACGCTTTCACATTCTCCCTTTTAACAGATGTGATTGCTTTCATCTCCATTGTGCCAGCTTGTCTATTCCTGCTATTTCTCTGGGCTGGTTGCTCTGCCACAAACGCCCAACATCCAACTTTTCCCGAAAATACCATGCTCTATTCACCATCAAATCTTGGACGAGCAGTGGCTGCTAGAAACATGACTTTTGCAATGTTCTTTTTACTTTGACATGAGCGGTGAGGATCTTCTTCATTGTTCAGTAGGTAATACGTTTGCTCTTTTTTTGTCAAGTAAAACCATTTCTCGTCGACATGCACATAGTTATACATTCCCTTAAACTTTGGCTCGTTCGGTATTGTGCTTTCATCAAGCATCGACAAACAAAACTCTAGTCGCGATGTTTTATTTTCTTCCTTCAAATGTGGTTTGATGGCACTTGAGTGACGACGTAGAATACCTCGCTTAAAAAGGCGATACAATTTGGAATAACTAACACCTAAAGCATTAGAAAGAGATGTAAGTGTTGTTCGTTGATGCCACTCTATCTCTTGAATCTTATTTAAATCTACCTCAATTTGTTTACGACCACAATTCCGTGCCTCCCTCGAAGAAACATCCACCTCTGAGCCGGGTGAAGTTCTTTTGTGAATTTTCCATATTCTTTGAACACTTTGCAGCTCCAGAATATTGAACATATCTTTCACTTCTTTTGTTGTGTTCTTTTTTAATTTACCATTTACACTTTTCTCCAACAAAGCATGATAAATTGCCCACCGTTCATCGTCAGTTAGGATCTTGTTCTTTCTCCCTTGAACATTTTCTATTAAAATAGTGATAACCAAATTAATATAGAGAACCAAGCAATGAAACTAGATACTCCATGTAGTCAATTAGCAGTATTGTTTACTCACATGGAAGTGAAGTAACAAATTTTTATGTGCTAAATTTTGGCTCACATGGAGTAACAAAAAGAGAGTAACTAAATTTTTCTGTACTCACATGGAACATTGCAGTCAGTTAGAAGTATTACAGTTCGAACGTGAAATAAAATAGAGAAATGTAAATTTAATTAAAGTGGATTTTGTAAGATCATTGTAAGATCAGAGTTGGCTTGTATGTTTATCACTTTGGCTTGAGTATTCTACAAAATTAAGAATGAAAATTTTGATTCATTTTAACAATTCCTCACACAAGGCTTATGTTCTTATGTGTACAGATTATATAATATTACTGTATGTCTAGTCTGTTTGAATTATCTACATGTCATGAGAATGGACATTTTGATTGATAAACTACATATGACACACAGAACAAAACCTATAGTTGAATGATGTTTATACTTTCATATTCTACAAAATTAAAAATGGAAATTTTGATTCATTTTAACAATTCCTCATACAAGACTTATGTTCTTATGTGTACAGATTACATAATATTACTGTATGTCTAGTCTATTTGAATCATCTACATTAAGTCATGAGAATTGGCATTTTGATTGATAAACTACTAATGACACACAGAAAAAAACCTATAGTTGAATCATGTTTATGCTTTCCTTTGCCTTCGCATTCTCCTAGGTGGAGACAACAACTGAATGTACCAAAAAATGTATAACAATCTTTTGCATAAAAAAATTTACTACAGCACAAACAGAGCAATCATGGAAGTTGATATCAATAACAACCTTCGGGTAACTTGGAGGAAATAACAATATCAACCAAGCAGAAAAAATTGATATCAATAAAACTCACCTTGGCTTGTTTCTCCTGCTTCACCATTGCGGCCGTCAAACCCATTGAAAATTTCTTGCCCACCCGATATTACGTGCCCTTGAACTACACCTTCAATGTCTCTATCTTCTTCTTCACCATTGGCTTGCTGGCTAACTATCTCTTCCACAGATGATTCGGACCTCGCTTCGTCATCATCTTCAAAAAACTGATTTAAGTCGAGCTCAATAACATGGTATCCAATTTTCGGGTTTCGTCGGCATTTAGCTCGATTATAATATTTTGTGAAGATCTCGAGACTGCATCTTCTACGTCGTAAGGAGGTTTGTTCAAATCAATTGGAATGTTTGAAGCCATTGCAAATTCTTATTGGTAGAATTAAGCTATCCATATTTATAGTCATTTGTAGGTGCTGCTCACAAATTTGAAATGTTGAAGGTGAATTTTGATTTTACCTCTTTGCTGAAATTTTGGCTCCAAATATGTAAGTGATTGAAGAAAATAAGTTACAGATTTTTGCTCTGTATTTGTGAGCTCACAGTTTGAAGAAAGAAATGTGGAAAACGATGGGTTTTGCACCCTCATAAGTCACTTTTTCCTTTTCTTTTTATTGTTTTAATGATCATTAATTGATGTTAATTTTCATTAAATAAGGGTAATATAGGCAACAAAAGAATTTCTTAATAACTGTGTTAATGCCTAGAACGACAATTATTTAGAATGGGAGGGAGTATGAGATACATAAGTAGTTGCACAGAATCAAGTCACCATGTATTATTGAGAATCTTTAATAAATTTGATTCACAATATACAAAAATTTAATGTATATTTTCTTTTCGAATCAAGGTTTTATTTTAGCAATTTTTTCTGAGGTGGCCTAACTTTTTACAGAAATAACACCTCATTTCTTTAATGATTGGACCTGGAAAAACATTAAGTAAGCCAATCTCCTTTTACTTGCCTTTGTTTTCTATTTTATCTTACTATTATTGGCTCTCACATGAGATATAAAGTGAATTGACTCTTCGTTCATCTAACTTATTCTCACCTCTTCCTACACCAGCATAGCCTTAATTTCCTTACAGTCCCCTTTATCTTTAATGGTGTTACAGTTCACCTAGGATTGACCAAATTCGACAGGTAGGCAGTTCATGATGAATAGAACCATAAATGAGTCTATTAATTACATTCATTCTCATGTTTGCAAGTTTAGCTTAAATGTTGAACATGTGGGTCACGAGATCATGGATGGAAGAGAATCAGTCGAACTTTTATAGTGGTGAGCTCGTTAATGAAACTTTCCACAACAACCTTTTCTGTAATTTTAAATGGAGATAATCCCCTTGTTTTTTATTTAAGAATTCTTTTGCATTATTAGCCTTAATGTTATCCGCCATGATTAACTTCATAAAATTCAAACACAATCTATTTGATCCCTCACATACCCTACAAAGAGTTACCTCTAATGCGGAGCTCTCATCTGTAATGGTTGTGGGAGCTTCATCAGTAATTAGAGTCATATCCAAATTCATTGCACCTAACTAAAAATGGATATGCTTAGACCATTCATTGAAGTTCAGCCAATTGATTTTTTCAACTATAATATTGTACGGATAACTCAATTTTGAATGCTGCAAACTCTAATACATGTTATTTAGTTAAGCTTTGAGAGACAATTAATGGATTCAGAAATCTTTTAAATTATATATTTAAGTATACCTTTGGGCAAATACTTAAATATATAATATACTTGATTGATGCCTAAGAGGAAAGATCTTTAATAGTAATTATAGGTATTGTGATTAATTAGTGGTTACCTTTGGACAGACACACTAATTAATCCAACTATAATTATAATTTCTCTTTTATATATTAATCCTAATAGAAATTATACAAACTTGAGTCAACTAGGGCTATCTTTGGACAAACACGCTAGTTAACATCACTTTAATTATAATTTCTCTTTTAAATATTATTCCTTAATAGAAATTATATAATTTTGACCAATTAGAGGTTATCTTTGGACAAACACACTAATTGACCTAACTTTAATTATAATTTCTCTTTTAATTGTCATAACTATAAACACATGACCCACCTTTAGGTGTCCTCCTGGTTTATAATCAATGACATCAATTATTCAAATATATAATTTTAGAAACATTAATAAGACATCATTTTATATTCGAATAATGATACTTTCATCAAATTTAATTATCTACTCCATAAATTAAACCAGGCCACTTTAATGACTAACTAGTTTCTTTACATAAATAATATAATTAGAAATAATTTATTTGATTGTGAATGTTATGAGATTCATATTTCATTAATCTCTATCATCTGTAGAATTAACTGTAATATAGTTCATATCAAAACAAATAAAAATAGAACTAAAAGCCTGTTAAAAGATTTGGACTCATGTCAAGAGCACATCGTCCTAAAATTTGAGTCATGCCACCATCAATAAAATTTGAAGCCTCACATATAATTACACATTGCAAGTAGCATCAATTACTGATCACATGCATTGCATACAACTAATGATGGCAACATACTTTGGCAAAATATCCTTAAATGGATTAAACAATTCAGTAATCCGTTTTTTCAAATTCTACGAAAACTTGAGTGCCAACAGTCATATAATTATATGGTTTATCCTTCCACACAATAACAATTATTTATATGAGAGCAAAAGGCGAATACGGATTACAATTCTCCTTTTAAGCCAATATGATCACATCAACACATTATAATCAACAAATCGAGACATAAGGCCATGAACTGTAATTGACATACCAACACCGAATACTTTAATGGACAAAACCGATAATTGAGAAATAATTATGCATAAACACATGCTCTAATACTACATGTAAGAAATTTAACGAGCATATCCATATTTATCAGGCGGAATTGAATAAACCATAAGCATGTAATTCTATCAGTTCATAGAATATGGATCTTTGCATAAATTAAATTGCAAATAAAATTTACAAGAATCCAGCTTATAGTCCTTCCTTGTTTTCTTGATCTATGATGTTGATCTGTGATCCTCTTCCTCATAATGTCCAATGATGGATGATGGATCTGTCTTTACCTATGAATATGAATTGTTTCTCTCTCCCGCGTCTCTCGTCTTTCCATAAAAGCCCTTGATGTTGAGAACTTTATTTCGTATGAGATGAGGGAGAGGAGCATGTAGTATATATAGGAGGAGACCTACAAACCTATTCCTACTAACATTCTCTATGTTCTAACCTAACTTATTGTCCAAGTCAAACATCACAAATTGGACTCTTTAATATTAAAACATTAATAATCCATTAAATATATATTCACCTTAATTAAGTTTGACTATTAATTCAATTAGGTCCAACATCGCATCTTCCTATGGAATAGAATCAAAAGGACTAATTATATGGTCCACAATAATAGAATAATATAAAATATTATTACAGAATATAAATAAAACAAATTGCAATCCAATTAAATAATTGGTAGAGTTGTTATAAAATCGCGTCACTCGTGGACTCAACTCGTTAAGACTCGAATTGATTCAAGAAATATTTTTATTTTTTTTTTGAAATATTACCTTACCTCGACCTGTTAAGTCTCCAGCTCAAGTTGTTAAATTTAATTTTTAACAAACGAGCGAACACAAGTTCTTTTATCGGCTACTCTGCTGCACAAAAACTCGAACTTTTTTTTTTTTTTTTTTTTAAAAAAAAAGTTAAAAAGGTATTCCTACTATGTGCAGGATTTTGTCTTTCAGTGCAGAAACAGGCACTGACTCAGTGACTCTGCATGGTTAAATTTAGGCACGTTTTATACCGCCGTCAATTTTTTTTTACCACAAATATAAATCCACACATTTATATATAGTATATACACACACTAGAGTATAACTCACTTTAACAAAAAATTAGAGACAGAAAAAAATCGAGGAATAAATTTACAAAATAATAATTGAAAATTGGTCTATTTTGATTAACTCAATCAAGATAAGTACAGATGATAGCTTTGAGAAGAGAGGAAATTTGATGGCTGAGATTAACCGGTCGAAATCTTTCGGCGAGAAGTGCAGCCACGTGGCAAAAAAGCAACGGACCAAATTCTACATTCTCCGGCGTTGTATAGCCATGCTCGTCTGTTGGCACGAGAAGAAGGAGCCTAAGGATTGAGAGAGTTAAGTTTTTATTTTATTTCTCATTTATTTTTATTTGGCTAATCAATTAGAAATTATTGTATTCTAGCGAAGAGAGTAATAAAGTCTACTGTGTAGTGTGAGTTTTTCGGTAAATAGTGTGTGTGTGTGTGTCTGAAATTTTAGTTTTGTGGTTCATGTGTAGCTTAATTTTCTCCTTTTCATACACATGAATGATTGTTGAACACATATATTAATTTGATTTGTAATAGTGTATTTATTTGTCATTATTATTATTATTGTTATTTGATTTTATTTAAATTGATGGTATCAAATTAACCTGCAGATCCTTTTGTTTCTACAAATTTGATATAGATAGAATAGAGCTCCTGCGCGGCTCGGCTGCTTGTTTGATACACAACTCGAGCCCGTTTAGTTAAGACTCGAAAATTAAGATTTTTATGAAATTTTCTTTAATTTGGCTCGTAAAGACTTAAATTTGGCTCAAACTCGGCTCGTTAATATTTATAAACAAATTGAGTTCAAGCTCATTTATTGACTCATTTAGTTTACTAATAAAGTGCACGTGCATCGCACGTGGTGACGAATATTTTTTGCCGATTAAATTTAGTAAAATAAATAAATTAATTTATTAAATATATCATTGCGAGAACAAAAAAAATGCAGAATAAATGAGTTCCTAATGTATTTGTTTTTTCAAAAATTACATAACGATATACTAATATAAAAAGAATAAAATAACATGTTACGACCCCAACAAAAATACATGAAAAATGAGTCCATAATTTTTTTATATAAAAAATTTACTAAATAACTAAATAAAGACATAATGTATAATATAATGCATTAGTTCTTTTATTTATTCATGTTTGATGATTAAAGAGTAATTTTCTTTCATTTTAGTTTGGAGACGTTCTCATAAAAAAACATACATACCCATTTGAGTTCTATACATCAATAGGCAAATTCTTCTTAATTCATTAGGCAAAAAGTTTACTTTATTCAAACAATGCAAAATATATTGTCCAAACATATAGTCAAACGCTATGATTATGATCTTTTTAAGGTATTGCTAATAACAGTTAATGATTATCTCTCTGAAATAATCAACCGTGTCATTAAAATTGTTGATATTTTTTTTAAACTATTTCATTATTCTCTCTCTCTCTCTCTCTATATATATATACAA